GCTGGGTCTACATTTGAAGCACAGTCATGTGAAACCAGGAAACCTGGACAGATGCAATGGTGAAATTAGGATATGCTATTTGAGAAGTTATCCTGAGACACTGTTTTTCATTGTTTCATTTTCTTTTTTTCTTAATTGAGCTATACATTTTCCTCCAATCCACTTCCCTCCTCCTCTCTCCCCTTCCTCCTTTCCCCCTACCTCCCATGCTCCCAGTTTACTCAGGAGATCTTGTCTTTTTCCCCTTCTAGGCAGATCCATGTATGTCTCTCTTAGGGTCCTCTTTGTTACCTAGGTTCTCTGGGGTTGTGGCCTGTAGGCTGGTTGTCCTTTGCTTTGTGTCTGATATCAACTTATGAGTGAATACATATTATATTTGTCTTTCTGGGTCTGGGTTACCTCATTCAGGATAGCTTTTTCTAGTTCTGTCCATTTGCCTGCAAATTTCAAGATGTCACTGTTTTTTTTTAACCACTGAGTAGTACTCCATCGTGTAAATGCACCACACTTTCCTTACCAATTCTTTTGTTGAGTAACATCTAAGTTGATTTCAGTTTCTGGCTATTAGGAATAATGCTTCTGTGAACATAGTTGAGCAAATGCCTTTGTGGTGTGAGTGTACATCCTTTGGGTATATGCTCAAAAGTGGTATTGCTGGGTCTTGAAGTAGATTGATTCCCAATTTTCTGAGAAATCACCATACTGATTTTCCAAAGTGACTGTACAAGTTTGCATTCCTACCAGCAATGGAGGAGTGTTCCCCTTACTTCACATCCTCTTCAGCATAAGCTGTCATGAGAGTTTTTGATCTTGACTATTCTGACAGGTGTAAGATGGTATCTCAGAGTTGTTTTGATTTGCATTCCTCTGATGACTAAGGATGTTAATCATCTCCTTAAGTGTCTTTCGTTCATTTGAGATTCCTCTATTGGGAGTTGTCTTTTTAGATCTTTACCCTAGTTTTTATTGGATTATTTGGTCTTTGATGTCTAGTTTCTTGAGTTCTTTGTATATTTTGGAGATCAGTCCTCTGTCAGATATAGGGTTGGTAAAAATCTTTTCCCATTCTGCAAACAATCTCATATATATGCCTAGGTATGTTTTCTAGGTAACTTTAAGTCAAATAGAGAAGATGAAACATCACAGTGGGATTAACATTAGGCTTATTCTTTGAGACAAACTTAAAACAGATTCACTGAGCTCACAGCTGCCTCGGTTCTCTCTTCTTCAGTCTTAGAATAACATTTTTCTGCCTGGAGTACCCCTGATGACATTCTGTCTAGGGTGCCCCAGGGGCCCAAAAGCTGATCACTCAATCTCTTAGTCTATGATCCAAAGCCACTTTAAAATTGGTGAGATTTTGAGAGCATCACCAGTAACTGCTCAGTCATACCATCCTGTCTGAATGGGATAGGGGCATTTTTCCATATCCTGTAGATTTTAACTCTAAATTCTACCATATCCTGATGTCATTCTTTCATTTCTATTTTAAACTTTCTCCTTCAAAAAGGTCACTTTTCTGAAAAGCATTATTTTTTAAAGACCCTTTATGTCTTATTCTGAACTTTCCATTCATTGTCCAACTCCCCTTTTTATTTTGCCTGTTCTTTGAGTTATTAATAAAGCTTCTTTTATGTGTAATACCATCTCTCCATATAATGAATGTGTGTTGTGCAAAGACATTACTGCAGGGACAGTAATTATTTTGAGGTTTTACACAGCCAGGACAAAGCATGACAAACCTGTAGGTTCTCTGGGGGCAGGATCTCTCACAAAGGATCTCTTAATGGAGCATGCATGGTATCTTTTATATCTTAGTGCTTCTGAATAGTTTCACCACTCAGTCTTAGATTTTCCTTTCTTGCTCTAAGCCACAACTGATATCTGAAAATTAGACCCATACACCCTCAGCTCTCAGATTTCCTTAACCAAGCAGAAAGTCCTTAAGAAAGAATGTTCTCTTTGACTTTTGAATAGTTTCTTTAGCTTTCCCCAAGAACTCTTTCCCTTGAAGTCAAATTTGGTGTTGACTTTCTTTTCAACCTTCAGTGTCTAACCTGCTCACTTACTCATGGCTCTGCTCTATGGCTCTGATAATTAGCTGAGTGGAGACAGAAGGGTAGGGAATGAAGGAAAAAGAGATCATTCTTGGTTTTGGATTCTTCATTCTGATGAGAGTGGTTGTCTGGTGAATGAGGACTGAGTGATTTTGAGACAACCAGGTCTGTTCTCCATTACCTTACCTTCCTTCTCTCCCCTCAAGAAACTGATTCTAGAATGTTCTATCATTTGACTCTCAAAGCAGGGGACTAAGCAACAAGAGACACTGGTGGGAGGTAAGAAGGTGGGAAGACAGAGTACAGATATATTCATTCTGCTGCCTCCCTGGCCACATTCTCCACTTCTGTTCAAGGCTGAGTCTGTGTCACTCCCACAATTGTTCCCTTGGCCTATTACAACTCTCTTACCTCATGTGACCCTCAACCCAAGGTTGCTAAGAGCAGTCTACTATTAATTCCTGGCTGGCTCAACAATCTCCAGTGGCCCCCTGACGTCATCTTACTAGTCCCGAAGTAGTCCTTTGACAAGATTTCTTCATTGGGACTATCTGAGTTAAATTCTGTTTCCTACCAGGACCCTGCATGATGTACATTAAAAAAAACCACAAGTGTTACATTAAAGATTTAACATAAATATTACTCCTTTTCTTTAGTCTCAGATATTTCTGTCTTACTGACCAAATAGCCTGCATAATGGGCAGAGTTTCGACCTATAACCTAGCAAGGCTTCAGTTATATATTTATGAGAAAATCACTTTCTTCCCATCAACACAGGCTACAGTTTCCTTACTAACTAAATGGGAAGCTCACTTAAACTAGTGATGCTCGAAGTGGGGCACACAATCTCCAGTTGTTCACAATATCCTTTTAGGAGTTCTCAAAGGCCAAAGCTACTTTCATAGCACTGAGGATTTACTTGTGTACCTTGTATTTCCACTTGATGCCATTACTAACTACTTAAGTAATGGTAGTTAATATTGTACATTTAAAGTTCAAGATGATGTCACCAACTGTGCTCCCGTTGAATTCTGCCATACTTCAAAGTCTGAGTAATAACTTTGCTTAGGAATATTCTTAATATAGTACTTGAAAATGTTAAATTTATAGTACTGTTGTAGTTTCTAGAGCTCTTGACAAAAATGAGAATCAAACTCTAAGCATTTCTTTTTTATATGAGATATAAAGTGTGTCAGATCCTAGAAGGCAGCTATGTAACTGAACTGTGAGTTGGCACCTTTCCCATCCACCACTTCTCAAAAGATTAACTGACATGCTAACTGTTAACTGCTAAGACTGAGACATCAGGAAAGACCTTTTTTTTTTTCAAAAATGAACTAAGTGAAGCTATCTTTACAAATGAGATAAAGGATAGTATTTGTTCCCCATAGTATGATTTGAGCTTCCAAGCATTGTACCTTCCTAGTGATTAAAGACTCATCTGATGAGGTAAGCCACGATATTAGCAAGTCACGTGTTGGTGGTATGTGGTGAAAGATGTCAATACCCAACTAACTCAGTGACATGCATCCAAAGCCTTCTTTCTGAGGCTAGAGAAATGGCTCAATGGTTAAGAGCACTTGCTATTCTTTCAGAGAACCTAGGCCCAGTTCCTAATAGCCACATGGTGACTATAACCATCTATAACTACAGTCAGAATATCTTGTCCCCATGTGCACTGAACACACGTGGTGCACAGACATACATACAGGAAAAACATCCATAAGCATAAAATGAACAAAATCTTTAAAAATAAAAAACTTTTTTCCTAACTGTGCAAGCTTTGGACAGGAATGCAGAAGGCATTGGGGTTTGGGCCCCATTGTCTGAGCAGTGAAGAGAGTTTCTTTATTTCTTCATCTGTAAAGTGGCCTTGCCTGGCTAGAAAACAGCTAAATGAATAATATATAGGTCAATATTAATATATCCGTAAATTAACACACAAGCTTCAAAGGATGGACATGGTAAATGGTGTGCAAATGTTTCCCACTATTATTGTCATTGTCACTTTTCTTTTTGAGACTTTAGAACAACAATGGCTCTAGCAATAGAAATTACCAGACTCATATTCCAGCATAATTTACAAGCTACTGACCTTGGCCAAGTGATTCAATAATATAATCATGTATAGTAGTATATCTGCATAAAGTTATGAATGACCATATGATTATTGTGAGAGATAAAGGAGATATTAGATGCTTATCCCAGGGTTGGATGCATTAGATTAATATCAATAATTTTGTGTTTGACAAACATTTCTTGAACTTTATAAAATCATATCATGGTACAGGCAAGATGGCTTAAATGGTGAAAGAACTTGTCACCAAACCTGATGTTGGGTTCCTGGGCCCACAGATTAGAACAACATAAACAGATTTCACAAGTTATCCTTTGACCTCCACACATGTACCAAGGCGCGTACACACACACACACACACACACACACACACACACACACGTAAATAAAATCATGTAACACATGATGACATCATAACTTTCAAGACTCACAAAGCTGTTAATACTTCTGAACAGTGACATTGAAAAAGTAGCTCACTGAATAGATAAAAGGCTTATTTCTGTGGTGTGAATATTGTCACCATAGTCAGTTTCAATCTATGACTATGAGGACACTGGACACAGACCTGGTAAGAAATTCTCAGTATCGGGCCACTCAGGCACCACCCTTCCCAGAAGCCTTCTGCGGAGGACTCATGTGCTGTGCCTTAGTTCAGGCCTCTCTTCAAGAGGTGACCGTTCACCAGGGTTGAGGAGCCAAGGACAGCTGAGTTTTAATGTATTCAGAAACACGTTTCAAATGTACCTATAAAACAAGACAAAGCTCTCTGCACTTTACCAGCTGGAGAAGTTCCTGTGGCATGCAACCATGAGAGCAAAAACTGATCTTAAAATACAACTCAAGCAGAAAATACAAAAGAACACATCTTTCATAATTCCATTTATTAAAGACAAACATTTCCTTATAGTATATCTGTCCAACTGTGAAATTCACTTTAAATTTCTGAAAAGAGTATAACTAGCTTTTTAAAAATGCTGGGCAGTTAAGATACCCTGGTTCAAAGTTGTTGTTTTTTCTTTTTCTTTTTTAATGGGCAAGAATATATGCTTAGAAGAAAGTGTTATCAAGGGGAATCACCTGTGACAACCTGTCATGTTAGCATTAACATGATTCAACTTCTGCATCCCCACAGTCACAGGAAGAAAAGAAACATGCAAAATGATTCCCGAGAACCACATCATCTGCTCACTGATGAAGACTTCCCTATCTATTTCATGTAAAAATAAAAATAATAAATTACATATAAATAAAGAGGTGAGGGGAGCCAGCGTGTTCTGAGAGGTGTGCAGTGTGCCTCCTCTTCCACACTACACAAAACTCTCCTCCATGTTGCTACACAGCAAGAAGGAATCCACAAGCCGAGGCTGGACCAGCTGCTGGAAATCAGAGTCCTGGAGGCCTTCAGGGCAGACCCCAGCCAACCGACGCAGAGCAGCCTGGGGGGAATGCAAAAGGAAGGTACAGGTCACACTGGGCCCTGTGCACATTTGTGCCTCCTCCAGCTGCCCCGAGAGATGCATTTTGAGAAATGCACTGCATTAACCAGGCGATTTAATCTGATTACCTGATACTTGCTCCATGATTCTTTAGTGGCCATTTTGGTCACCATTGTGCCCTTATCACCAAGGTCACCTGATTTCATTTGCACTTGAGGCAGTGTGACAGGCATTATCTGGAAGCTCTTAATGATTTTAATAATGGTCTTGCTGTTTCAGTTTTTTTTTTTAAATCACTCTGGGAAACTGGTCATTTTAAAGATCTGTTGTTTTTAGGATCTTGTCAACTTAGTGATGTATGTAAGTTCAGTATGTCAGAGACTGGGACTTCCAGAAGCCTCCATGGACTAAAATTATTGTTTTCAGATTATCTGAGTAGTTTATAGAAACCAGGATTATTCACTCACCCACAAATGTACCCCATCCCACACAGAGCACTGTGAGATGGGAGGGAAGAGGAAGGAAATGGGAAACATGGAATCCAGGTAGATTAGGAGGCTGTGCCTGAGAAATCCAAATCAAAGGAGGGAGAGCAGGAGTTGTGGGGACAGAACAATGGACCAGCTCCCCCAACCTCCACAGCTCACCCCACTGAGGACCGGGCTCGCTTCTGCTCCTGGGAAGTTGCCTTGCTATGACATGTCCCTCCTGCTCTTTCCTAGTCAGCAGGGTTCATCTGCTGTCAACCTGCTCCCCAGCAAAGCCATCCTTGACTACCCTAACCAGGGAACAATATGTACCCCTCTCCCAGTGTACACAGCCACAGCTCCAGCACCCTCCCCAAGTCTTGTTCCCAGAGTCTCCTTTCTCAGTAGTTAAGTCAATCATCTGTGGATCTCATTCACAGACACCCAAGTCTAAATAAAGACAGTTGCCTACTGCTGGCTGCTTTGTCCTGAAAAAAAAATCAATCCTGTTTGCCAGAGGAGATCCATGCTACCATTATTTCCACACAGGACATAATAATCGAATTATTCTCCTCTCACCTGAGGACAGTCTTTAGGCTAGAAAGAAGACCCTGGGAAAAGAAAAGAGACTCCCAACTCCACCAGCCTGGCTAGGCTCCATGGGTCTCTCATCTTGCTGGCCAGAGGCCTTCACCTAGGTATTGGAGCCTTTAATAACCCAAGCAGTGGACATCCACCAGCATCAGTGGTTGGGGGATGGGAATAAATCAACTAATTACAGAGTCATCAAGACATGATATCCAAACTCAAGATCATATAAAAATAAAAGGGTCTATACAAAAAGGCTTTTGCCCTTAGAAAATTCTAGAATTAGGGGACAGATAGAAATCTTCCTCAGGTTAAAATAGTGAGACCAGTGTCAAGACAGTAGGAAAGAAAAAGCATGGTTAGAAACAAGAGGGTCTATTCAAAAGACCCAGGCCTCCAGAGAATTTAAAGTCTAGAACATGAGTTATAGGGATTATATATTTATAAAAAAAACAAGCAGGGAAACTGAGGTGATGCACTGTGTACTTCCTGACTTTGTATCACAGAGGAATCCTGGGAAACATCATCAGATGGGTATTTGGATCTGAGCGTCCAGGGATGAACAAAAAGAGTTGTAGAGATAGTGTTTGTTTGTGATGTGAGGAAAGACAATACTTCCAAGCACAGTTGGACAAGACCTGTAAAGTAGGAGGCTTTCAGGTCCCAGTGTCAGGTCAGACCTATGCTAAGAAGTGTAGGGAAACTGCGGCCCCCTACCCAAGCCACAGGTGCCCAGGCCAGACCACCAAGCCTGCGTCTCTACCCAGAGACTGCTGAGGAAGAGACAACTGACCCAGAGACACCATGAGGAAATGACAACACAGCAGTCAGCCACCTGAGCCAATAGGATCTTGGGAGGGGGTATAAAGGCAGGTCTAACTTCCTTAATAAACGAGTCTGTGGCATGCTCTGCTACTCACTGACTCCCAGTGCCTGAGTCATTGGTGCTGCATCTTCTCACCCCCTCCCCCAAGGGGTGTCCGAGCAAGGTCACTGGAAACAAAGAAGCTCTGAGTGAGTAGACAGTAGGAGGGGTAAGTAATGGAGAACCACGGACAAGTCCATGCAAATTTGATGAAAACATTGTGAGTCAAACGCTCTTAGGGAAACTCACTCAGCATCCACATGGAGGGGTGGATTAGAAAGGGGACTCTCCTCAACATTTGAGAACAAATGTAGTCCCTTTCTGCTTGAAAGTTCCCTACGTGATTGGAGATGGCAGCCAAACCTTGTTTGTGCTCTGGAGAAAAATGCCAATAGTAATAGCACAACCCCCCGCAACTGAGGCAGCCTATAGTTTCCCAAGTGCTCCCTGCACCCTTGACTTTACCTGTCAAGCCCTTCAGTCAGGCAGTTGCTGCTGCCAGAGCGATAAAGATAAGGGAGCTGGGACCAATCATTATGTGTTTGTCAGCTGTGAATTTCTTCCCATTTTGCTTGATAGAAAAATAGACTCAAGAAGGTCTGTGGACTTGGAGGAGAAAAAGGGTTTATTTCTTTTTTCACTAATTCCTCACTGAAGCAGCATCTGTGGTTGTCAGTGTTGCTGATCTCTGGCCCTGCTCTAAACCAGAAATCACAGATATCTGCAGACCGCATAAGAGATGTGGACGCTGTCTTCAAAGAGTATTTACTACCACGAGCAAGCATGGTTTTAATATGCTATATGCATAAATATTGAATAGTGGTTTTAACATAATTGGTGCCCTTTAAAAAACCCCACATTAACTTTTTTATTCATTTAAAAATTATTGAGAGAATGGGAGGGGAGTTTGTTAGGAATAAGGAATCCAGAGTGCACAGGGCAGGGGAGAAGAGGTTAAGAGGGGTGAATATGCTTGAAATACATTATATGCATGTATAAAATTGCCAAGAAAAGAGTCCTAGCAGAGGTTAAAAACCTTCTCTAGACTTCCAAAGGCACAAAGATAAGAATGTACAAGTTGCAAGAAAGCTCTCTCCTATCTCCACAACTCTAGCCCCAAAACCTAGAAGAGGGAGTGCCACATAAAACCATTCAGCAAATATTTACTAACTAAGAGAGCACTTTGACCTACTCAGTGACATACAGCTCACCAAAGTACAAACAGGACAGGTCTGCTGACGGCGATGCCAGCTGCTTCTACAACTTCACAGTGTCCATCTAGAACTCCCAGAAATGAGCTGAGCTCAGTGAAGAGGGGGGCAAGGAGGGGACTTTGTGAGGACTCAACTTGAAATCATGCATTCACTGCTTTTCCCCGTGTTCTGTGAGGACCAAAGATCTGGCTCGCTCTTCTGCAAGCTGACTGCTTCCTTGTGATGCCACACCTCTGTCTGTTCTGCCACTCTGCTCTGGGGTTCATCACAGCCCCACAGGAAGATAAGTGTGAACAAAGCATGCATTTTCCATCTGCTACTGTTCACTAGTTCCCTAGTGAGAAGTTCCCAAGAAGCACTTGTTTGGGTTCTAGGAGAAGACCTTAATGGCCGGTTAAGTTACCCTCACTGTCCTGTCATGCATGCTATAGTCATTTCCACAGCAGATAGTGCAGCTACTCTGTGGGAAGGGTCCCGAGGGTTTCTCCTGGGAGTAAAAGCGGACTTTCTCTTAATTGTTCACTTTGGACAGACAGCTGTCTGTTTCTGGGCCAGGTGTTCTGAGGGCTGCATGACATCAACACCGCCACCTAGCAGCCCTCAGCTCACTTCACCAGTGTTAACATGCTGCTGTGCGTTCCCAGAGCCTAAAAGGTCACTGGGGTTATGGAGATTAGATGGGGAGCAGCTTCCTCCTCATCTTTCACTTGATTCTTCATCACAACTTAATCAACTGATAGGAATAGAAAGCATCAGCATTGCCATTTTCATATAAAATCTAAAGCCTGGAGAAGTATGAAGGCATACCCAGCTGTGGCAGAACAGCTGCCCTGACCTCAGTCTACCTTTCTGAAAGCCTTGTGGGAAACTGAGGGCAGGCTGAGAACTCACCAGGCAGGCCACAAGCACAGCATCGCTGCTGTTCCTCTCAGATGGGGATCTGCAGAGCTCAATAAGGCGAGAAATACCTGCAGAAGACACAAGGAGAGCATTACCACTGGCTTAGAGAAGCCGGCTGACCCACGGTGCTGACCAGCTTCACCCACCGTACATGATGGTGCCAGTCTGCGGAGGAGAAGCTGAGCCCACCTGGAGGAATATTTCCAGGAGACTTTCTACTTTCTGCTCATGGGCAGAAAAGTAGGGTCCAATCCAAACCCACAAATGCCAGAGCACTGGCCTGGGCTGATCTTTGGTAAGTGCTGCAGACATGTTGCCTGTTTCTCTGACAAGGACTTGTTAGTGTATACATCTAGTTTTGCCAGCACAGTATTTAACATTCACACCTGCGCACTGGGGCCTCACAACTGTGCATTCCTCTAATTGGCTGTGCCAGTCAGAAAATAATACTTTAGCTTCAAGTGTAGAAAATTATAGACCCCATTAACATTTCCTAGGGATTTATTGGGAAAATACTGCCAGAGGTCACAAAGAAGAAATTTGCGAAAAACATGCTCCAACCCACCCAGAAAAGCAGGGCCTGCTCTGTCCACCACATACACTTGGAGCATCGCGCTCATGATGCTCACATGCAGACCACCCTGTGCTTGGGGCTGCTGTTGTATTCCTTTAAAAAAAAGTGGCTCATAACCTTCCTAATGCTATGACTCTTTAATACAGTTCCTCGTGTTGTGGTGACCCCAACCATAAAATCATTTTCGTTGTTACTTCATAACTGTAATTTTGCTACTATTATAAATCACAATGTAAATATCTGTGTTTTCAGGTGGTCTTGGGCAAATCCTGTGAGAAGGCCATTTGACCCCCAAAGGGGTGGAGAGCCACCTGTTGAGAACCATTGCTTTTGAATTTAGCGAAGAATGGAGGTTCTGGGAATATTTAGGCAAATAGGAAGTTAACAATGGTAGAGAGAAATAATGGCTATTCTGAAGGTAAGTAAGTGAACTAGTGAATAGATAACTGAATCAATGAAGTTCTGAGTGAATAAACAAATGGAGAATGAGTGAAAACTACATGAATAAATGAACAAATGGAAATAATCGGTTCTGAATGGCAAGGAGTCTGCAGGTGAGTCAATATCCTGATCAACTATCTCTTGTTACAATTTAGACTAGGGCTATGTCCACGGTTTCTACCCCAGCATTTCCCAGCACACAAAGAGTGGGGTTCAACCCAGTTCATCCTGATATGCTACCCACTGACACCACCAGGAAAACACAGCTACTTTTATCCCAAGCTTTCCATTCCACTCCAGCCACAGCCAGAATCACTTACAGCTGAGTCGCACAGCTTCCTGGGCCACATGTGGGTCTCGACAGAGGCGGGCCAGAGTCACTGCAGCTTTCTGCTGTACCCTTTCACAAGCCGCGACTTCTGCAGGCGTCCCAGACCTTGGCTTCTCAGACAGCATGCCCATGATGAGCTGGACACCTGGGCAGGAAGCAACACACAGTGTGGACAGTTTAGACTCACCCCCAGTGTAGAGCTTACCTCGTGGGACTAGCTGGACAGAAGCAGGGCTCAAGCAAAGGTTTGGGGTACTGGAGTCTCAAACAGAGGTGGAAGCCAGATCTGATCACCTCTTAATTCTCCTCAACCACAGGGATCTGACTTATTCTAGACACCAAGTCACTAGACTGGAAAAGAAACATCTAGAAGACACTCTCACTTTTAAAACACCATTATTGGTTTTATGATATTTCTCACACTGTACACACAGTAAATGCTCAGTCACCTCAGATCTCACAATGACCTCATGGGCATGACCATAATAGTTTACTTTGAGGTCCAGAGTGGGGTAAGCTTCTTGCCCAGAGCACACAGTGCATAGGGGTGCTGGGTAGAACCTGGATAACTGGTCCCTCGTCACCCCTGATGGGGATGCATCTGAGACAGGGTATAGGTGTGAGGCATATCAACTTCAGGCTGGAAAACCGCTAGAGCCAATGCATTCACAGTGGGAGTGTCAGATTGAGGCTGCATCGAATTCACTCATGAGCCTCCTCCCTCCTCCCCAAACCAGATCTGTCTCCTGGTTGTTCTGTAAAGAATACTCATATCCACGCCACTAGCTTGCCTTTGCCCACCCTTTCTGAGGGGAATGCCCTTTCCCTGATATTCTCAAATATATCCCATTGTACAAGTTTGCAGCTGGGGCCCATCTTCTGTATGAGTGGCCCCCACCCCTCACCACCCTAGCCCCGACCCGCCAGATTGGAACTTCAACTAGACAGGATCTAAAGATAAGCTTTACTTTGTTGCTTCAAGACGTATGTTGTATAATGATTTCCATAAAAATCTAGATTTGTAACATTTATCTTCTGAGTTGAAAACAGTGACACCACATACATTTCTATAAAGCCAGAAGTTTATTGTTCTTGTTAATTTCTACTTTTGTATTAAGACAAGCATGTGCTATATAGCTCAGGCTGACCTGGAACTGACTATGTAGCTGAGGCTGGCCTGGGATTCAAATTCCTCCAACTGCAGCCTACTGAATCAGAGATTTTGGGCACATGCCTACACACCTGTCTTTAATTTACTATTATTATAAGATTGGGCCAATCCTTATCTATTTTACTGTATCTGGATCTTGCAAGCATCTACATTTACAACATCTGACCTAGTAACGGGGTCTCAGAGCCCAGACTATTTATTGAACAGGGTTTTCCCTTATTGAGACCCAGGAGTCTCCTGGCTTCTAGTGACCTCTGGTTATGTCACTGCCATTTGGATCCCTCAAATCCTGCTCCACTCTTATAAATACTGTCTTCCTCAAACTTTCTCTGTGAAATCCCATGAGACTGCCACTGAAAAAGAAACCAGGCCTGGTACAGGGCACATCCTGGGTCACACCCTGCCCTGACACTGTTAACAGTGATTCTCACACACTCCTGAGAGCAAGCACTGCTGTTCCCACTCTCCAGAGGGGCAAGAGAGAGGCCATCCCATTCATGAACCACAGCCAGGATTCCAGCCCACCAAATTCATGCTCTGCTCCCCTCCCGGCCCCCCACCCCGTGGCTATACTATCTTTCACATAAACACTTCAGCCAGGGCAGGTCGTCATTCCAGACAGGAAGAGCCTTTAGGACAAATGCGGGGACTCGCTAAACTCCAGGTCCCCACTGCCCAGCACAGTGCCAGGCCCATGGTAGGTTTTCACCGCGGTGGACACAGTGAGTTAGTCAACTCACTTTGTAAGCCACAAAGCACTCTCCAGATGGCAGCTATCCCAGCCTCAGAGGCACAGGCAAGTGGCAGCCTGCTGTCATGGGCCACTTCAGCCAGGACTCCAAGTGCTGAAGGAGGAGAGAACAAGTGACACCACGCAGCCTCTCCTCTTGGCCTCAGCTGGCTCAGCACAGTTTCTCATTATTAGCTCAATCACATGAAATTAACACAGAATGGTGTGTTTCAATTAGTCGCGGGCACTGGGAAAGTGCATGTTTGTTAAGACAGCAGGGCAGCCTGGGGGAAGGGACTTTTTGAGAGCAGAGGTACCCAGGCTCTCGGCTCACTCTCATTAGTGTCTCGGGTCTCCAACCGCTTGCTAATTGCTCCCTTATTCCTCAGTCACAGGAAGCCCCAGCCACCCTAGCTCTGTTCCCAGCTGCAAGGCCGCCACCTTGTCTTTTTTTTACAGAGACTTCTTACTGAGAAGCCCAGCTCCAATTCTCCTTGACCACGAACATATAAGGCAGAACAGAGGGCCAATTGGAAGGGAGATTCCCTCAGAGAGTGGTAGGGGCAGCCCAGCTGCCCTCTCCTCCTCCTCCCCCTCACTCCTTCCCATAATCAGCTTTCCATGGAGACCAAATGCAATAAGGCAGGTACAAAGCCATGTCTCCCCACTTTGGGACAATCTTGCCTCCATCACTGATTTTTTTTGTCCTCATTCCACTATCATGACCTGGCATTATCTTTATGTTTTCTATATTCCACTAGAATTTAAGCCTACCGAGGCAAATAAGCATTTCACCTTTGACCAGGTTATACACAGAATTGTGTGTGTGTGTTCTCAAGGGTGCACATTCATATATTTGTATGCATACACGCTTCTACATACACAGAAACTAAATGTATATGTATTTATATATCTGCACATAGGATTTATACAAGCACAAAGTCATGCAGCATCATGTACCCTGATAATCCACAGGGCATACCCGGACATACCGTTCTCCTGAATGATGTCAGAGGCACACTGCTCCAGCACAGACATGTTTGCCAAGATGGTCACAATCTGGAAAATGGAATTGGAAACTATAAAATAGACACACACAATTCTCACAGCGCTCTCTGAAGGCAGGTCGGCTTTGGGCTACAGAGCTTCCCTCCAGCCTGGCCCCTTACATCTGCCCATCCTTTCTCGGTATTATCGTCTATTCTCGTGGGCCCCTACCTCCCAGATGTAAGTCCCAGTCACTGATGCCCATTAATCGGTCGGTGGCTCTGGCATGGTTGCCTGGGGCCCCCAGTAGACAACAGCCTCACACTGGATGAAGGTGAGGCCTGGCTTTTGGGGTGCAGGAACCCTCTTAGCCTAACCTCTAAAATTCAGACAAAATTGGCAGGTTCTGGGCCCCTTTACCCCTTCTGTTCTGACTTGATCTCCTGACTCTTTGATCCACCTTTGATTGGGGTCACCTATGTCAGTTGTCTTTCCTGATACTAACCTTCGATGCGAAATGAACAAAGGCTGAGCTCGAGGCAGACAGCCTGCCCCAAAGGTGGGTTCTGGTGGGGAAGATTAACTTAGCCACACTTTACAAGTCTATGGTCTATGAACCTCAGTTACAGAGCACCACTGAAGGGCTTTGCCCTTAATGATAGGATATTGACATTCGATGGATATCCAGGATTGGTTCCAGTCTCTCAAGCGTTAACACTCCCCAGTCCTCCACAGCACACTAAAGGAGTCTCATGGCACACAACAAATAATGGACTAAGGAATATCCAACAAGAGGCCCAAACTATAAGTGGTATAAAAAATAAAAAAGTAAACTTGCTGAGGATGGAAGTATGGGCGCTATGAATAGAGAGGGCCTGTAATACTGTTCCCAAAAGAAACCACATAGTGAGAATGTGCCCGCCTCTATAGAAGCAGAGTGTGCACAGGTGGCGATTGAAATACACAGTGAACTAAAAAAGCATGCCTCCATGTATGAGTCCACTCTTCACACAGCTTCTTTCAAGCTGGTTGGACAGTCTAAGCAGGATCGGTGCTTCTGCCTTTGAGATGGTAAGTGGTAGTGTGCAGAGGGCAGTATAAGAGGTTTCTGTCCTTGGCATGGATGGTACAGCAGAGTTTGCCAAGAATGAGCATTCGATAGATTTTAACTGTTTTAATGTTAGCATATCACTCTCCATAATATACCATCCAAAAGATCTCTTAAACAGAAAGGGGAAAGTGCCATCATAGTAACAGAATATCTATCTCACACTCCCTCTCAATACATGCTGACCATAAAGGCAGCATCTCTATGTATCAGGTTCTCCCAACTCAGATCTGGTCAGGGACTGGATGGGTAAGTAGAGATTGGAGTGGGGTGCTGGAAGAAGAAAGGGAAATGCCTCAAAAGCCTTATTCTGAAGTCAGCTACAATGCCCAGGGCTTCACGAGAGGAGTGGTAAGTATACATTGAAAGTTCTTTTTCTCCAGCAGTATTTGTGGGGTCAGTGGAAGAAGTTAGAGAGAAAAGATGGGCTATAGATGAGGCACTGAATGAAGGTTCCCCAAAGAGAACCCGTAAGAGAGACACGAGGGTCAAGTCTGTCAGATTATTGTGCATCTGGCTGTCTCTGGACTGTTAGTAACAGCAGGAGCACAGCCTGTTCCTACCACACAGGGGCTGCTGTGCCCCACTCATCACCAGACATTTCTGCATTTCTGAATACAGACTCTTGTTTGACCTGCACATTCATGGAAAAAAGGAAGGAAGGGAGGGAACAAGGAAGGAGGGAGTAAAATAAAACCTTTGTCTGCAGCGAAGACTTCATTATATGGCAATCATTAGCTGAGTCACAGACACCAGGTAGGTCTTTGTGTTGGACTAATTTAGATCCTGTTAATGAAAATTACTTCCTCCTTACAGAGCCTGTACCCCATGTGGTTTTCTGAGGTGCAGATGAAGTAATCAATTAAGCACAATTTGAATAAATGCCAATTATACCCTGCTTGGAGTCTCCCTTTTGAAACACACTTGTGGGCACTGTTATAGAGAGTGGAAAGAAGCCAATGTTTTCACCTAGCTGTTAGGCCCACAACTACAGCTTTTAAGGACAGCTGGTTTACCTGGCTGGAAGCAAGCTAGCAATGCTGCCAGAATAAGGAATGCAGGAGCCAGGTCTACAGTTTCTCCTGGCCTAGGCTTATTCAACTGATGTAAAATTAAGGCCCGTCCTTCTATAGTTACCTGGTGAGCACAGAGGACTTGACCTCAAAAAATACTCTAGATGAGAGGTAGTGTAGGCCCAGATCTTGGCTCCATCTCTTTATCCACATGACACTAGCAATGGTACCTAACCTTCTGTGCCTTGGTTAATGAAAGGGTATGTGTTTCCTATTGCTGCTATAAGAGATTACTGCAAACTTAGTAATGTAAAACAATTGCATTATTTTATCATGCTAGAGGTCTGAAGTTCTAAACAGATCATATTTGGTTAAGATGAGTGCACTTAAGTTCTAAACAGATCATATTTGGTTAAGGTGAGTGCACACACATGCACGCACATGCGCCCCCCCCCACATTAATTCTGGAGACTCCTGGAGAGAACCAAATGAACTGCAATCTGTGTGACATGGATTTAACGCTCCCATCACTCTCAAATTGGAGAGATGTTTTAGTGCTACCAGAGTTTGAACACCAGCATCCAAGTGACAAGTTGAGAAAGCCCCAAGTTAAGGAGAGACTGCAATTGCACACAGGTACACACATCTGCATACACATATCCACCATCCCCACATATTTAAGTAAATGAATAAATTAACAAATAAGTAATTATTTTTAAAAGGCTGCATATTCTATATATCTTTCAATTTGGAGACTGCATCTTTAATCCAACTTTTCTAACTCTTTCCATTCAGCCCACAACATTCCTTATCCTAAAATGAGAGACAAGAATTCTAATAATGAAACCCTAGCCATTTTCTCTGACTCCAGTTCCCTCTCCACTTCACATACAAGTATGTGTCATTACAATGGACCCACCTGGATAAATTCATAGATTTAGAGTCTTAATGAATCACTCTGTGCAAAATCCCCTTTTGTATGTACAATAAGTTATTCCTTGATTTGGGGGAATAGGGATGGGTGTCTCTGTGGAGCATCATTTGGTATAAGCATCACAGGAGATAAAAATATTATAAGCATTCACTGTGTTTTATCAATCACCCAGAATACTTGTTAAATTAAACAAACACAGCTAGGCCGTGGTGGGGCACCAATTTATTCCCACAACTGGGGAGGCAGAGCTAGGTGAATCTCTGCGTTCTCAGCCAACCTGGTTCACAGAGTGAGTTCCAGGATAGTCAGGGCTACACAGAGAAATCCTGTCTTGAAAAACAAACAAACAAACAAAACCAAACATAGCTTGCCTCCAAGAGGCAGGGCCTGGAAGGACCCAGACCTGATGACTGATTCAAAGAGCACTAGCAATCTGACAGCCACATGAAGGGGCTGAACACTGATGTTACCAAGAGGTACGGGGAGTGGTAGATCCTCTCGAGGGAATGAAAGGTTTCATATTTGTGGGACCATATTGGAAGACTTGATCCCCATTTGGTGGAACTGTTTGAGAAGGAACAGGATATGTAGCCTTGGAGGAGGTGTGTCACTGGGGCAGGCTTTATGGTTTCAAAAGCCCACATTATCCCATTCAGCACTCTCTACCTCATGCTTGTGGATTAAGATGTAAGCTCTCGGTTACTGCTCTAGCACCATGCCTGTCTGTCTCCCTGCCATGATGGACATGGACTCCAACCCTCTGAAACTATAATCCCCAAAGAAACTCTTTTTTATAAGTTGCCTTGGTCATGATGTTTTACCACAGCAATAGAAAACTAACCAAGGCACAGCCCTTCCTAGCTAGACAGGTGGTCTGGCCTGACAGGTCTTATGACACAGAACACTTGATGTAAATCTAGCAGTAAGCCATGGGTACTTCTATGTTGCCCAAGGATTCAGACAAAAGAGCCAATGTTCACAAATTTGCAAAACTGTAATTAACATTACTCTTTAATCAGAAGCTAGTCAATAATGTCAAACATGGCTCTGGAATCTTCTCCTCCTTCTCCTCCTCTTCCTCCTCCTTCACCTTCTCCTCCTTCTCTTTCTTCATCTTTTTCCTTCTTCCTCTCTCTCTCTCTTTTATAAAGTGTGTCCTTATATATATGTATGCATGCATGTATTTGGAAGCCAGAGATCAATCATTCTCCACCTGTATATATTGAGTGGTCTGCCCTGAACCTAGGGTTTGAAACTCAGCTAGGATGAGTGACTAGCAAGCTCCATGGGCCCACTTGTCTCCTACTTCTGGCACCAAAACTACTGGTATATGCTTCTTTGTTCAGGTTTTATGTTGGCTCTACAGATTTGAATCAGGTTCTCATACTTGAGCAGTAAGGATTTTACCAACTAAACTATCTCCTTGGCTCCAGATTATAGTACTTTTTGACCTTACACCACACACACACACACACATACACCTTCCATGTGTCCATACACAACCTGAAGCCATACATGCCATCCATTACTTCACACCATACAGCATTCCTCACTGCATTAACTATATGTCCTAGACCTCATTCCTGCCCTAAATTAGACATCTCCATCTAGACCCATCCCAACCTATTCTATTACAGTTACCTACCCTATTCACTACTGAGTACCTACTTTGTTCTAAATAAAAGCTTTATGAACACCATCCCATTTAATCATATAAGGGTCAGAGAAGAGAAGAAATGTTATTATTTCCATTATACAGATGAGAAAATTGTGTCTTAGAGAGATTAAGAGATTGGTCCAAGGTTACACAGCTAGGAAACAACAGAGATAGTATCTGAACTAATGCGAACCTAACCTCCAAAACTTGTGTCATTTCTACTCTAATTTACTACATGGCAGAGACTTATAAACTTTTGAGACATAAGTCACTATTAAAACTCCCAATAATATGCATTTGTGATCAATGGATTCCTGATAAGCAGTATTGACACTGAAATCCCAGAAATGATACAAAATGTGGTCATTCTAAAGTGTCAAACAGAATACCAATGTCTATGGAAATGTAGGCAGCACACTGCCTCTGTGAAAACAATTCACAGAAAGGCTTGTCACATTTCTGTTGTAAGTACCCTCCAGAGGTCATGGACACTGCTTCTGCAAGGCCTTAGAGGCTATCCTTCCCTTCCCTGTTGTGTCTGTGGTTAGATCCCTGTACAACACAGCCTCTGTACCAACACCCCATGGGTGTGAAGTCACAGCACCATAAAAGCTGCTAGTTGAACAGGGTATTCTTTTTTTGTTTGTTTTTGTTTTTTCAAGACAGGATTTCTCTGTGTAACTTTGTAGACCAGCTGGCCTTGAACTCACAGAGATCTGCCTGCCTCTGCCTCCTGAGTGATTAAAGGTGTGCACCACCACTGCCTGGCATATTTGTTTTTTAAGATATGGTTTTAGGTTGCTTCAAACACTCTAAGTAGCTGAGGGTGACTATGAACTTTGGATCTTCCTGCCCTTACTTCCCAAGAGCTGAAATTATAGGCATGTACCACTCTGCCAAGTGTGGGAATCAAACTCTAGGTATGCAAACATTCCACTAACTGTTCTGTGTCCCCAGCCAAGGACAGTCTTCTTGGTATCTGATAGCCAGATATAAGTTGTACTATCTTCTTCTAGATTAGCAGAAGTAGATGGAAGACCCCAGACCCATGGCTATCTTCTGGGGTCTATATCCAAAAGTGAGTACAGAATGAGCTTTGGCAGTGAGGTTTCCACTTGACAAATTAAGTGGACTTGGCTTGCCTAGATGATGGAGGAGTTCTCACTGTCCAAATAGAGGTTCACTAAGTACATGTAGAGCCAAGACCAGAAGGCTTTGCACAGCATTGGCGTCACTGGCATGCTCATTACCGGAAACCTCATGGGGCATTTAATTTCTTAAGTATTTCAGGGGGCGGTGAGCACTTCAGAGCCCAATTCATCTTCTTTGTCTTCATTACAGAGAGCCCTCTGATCACCTTAATCCTCTCTCTGCCATAGCAAAGGGCCATTTGTTTCTTTAATGGGTATGCTCTCTCTAGCTAAGTGGCTGCTTAGAGCCAGGGCAAAGGGTGAAGCCATCCTGAGGACAGTGGGAGATGTGCCTGGCTCAGGCAGGGGGACAGAAAAAAAGCCTCCTGAACCCAGATGCAGGGAGAGTGTCCCTTTGCCTCCTATTTAAACATATTCTCACTCCTATGAGGTACCCTTGGTGAGAGACTTCATGAGAGGGGCTGCCACTCCTCATGGTCAGGTAAGTGACTCAGCAGAGACATGGACCATTCACACTGGAAGCAACACCACATTTTACACACAAGGAGGCTGCACTCAGCAGGCTCTCACTTGCTGTGTACAGCGTGAGCTCCAAGGGGGCATCCACAGACTTTACAGCATATTTGTGCCAGTCTACACCAAGAGTCTACATTCACTGGTTCATCTGATCCCTTCATAGACTCTGCGATTATATGTACACATTTTACAAATGCAGAAAGAATGAACTGCCCAAAGTAACATGATTATTTACAACAAAGATCTGCTGAATCCAAAGGCCTTGTGTCTTACTGTGTCCCTGTTGGATCTCATCTGACATGAACTGAGTAAGCCTTGGGTAGGGCACTTGAAGGTGAAGGTTCTCTATATCAGGTCATGTGGCAGAGAGGCTCAAAAGGAGCTAAAGAAGAAGACACACAATGAAGACCATCACAGGGTAGACCCTCCAGCCCTGTGCCCATATCTAACACCTAGAACTACAATAGGCACTGGGCATCAGAAGCCAATCAACCAGGAAAACAACTAGGCCATGTGAACAGGATCTCTTCCTGTTTCTACCTTGAGTATTTGTGAGCTGTTCTAAGAGCTAAACTATGTAAGTTTGAGCCTCCCTAGGCTTCTCACCTGGTCCCGAGTGTAAGGTGTGTCCACTCTCTGCTTGTCACTGCAGGCTTCCAGGAGGACACGGATGGCATTCAACTGTAGAAGCATCTCACAGGCCATTTTGTCAAAAAAGGTGATGTTGGCAAGGGCCGCAGAGGCCAGCAAGAAGACTTCCCCTGATGAGGCCTCTTGGCACAGTTCTGGATAGTGAAAAGGAAGAAACAGCTCAGGGTCACGTGTTTGCACATGACTGATCTTCCTTGAACCCCACAATAGCTCTGGGAGACTATTTGGGTGGGAGTCTTGATACTCTTTTTGGAGATGAACCAATTAGTTACTATAGAGGGAACTCTGCCATCTGCATAGGTAGCAGACCTGAAATTGGAACATTTGTATGTAATTCCTGCTCACTCACAAGTATTTTATTGAGTGAACCTTAGGTACATGGATTCTTGGGATGGTAAGATGGACCAAACAGGTCACACCATTGCCCTTGTGATATGTATTCTCTGCTATCAGGCAATAGAAAGCAAACCTTTAAGAGTTGATATAAATAATTGTCAATTATGATAAATATGAGAGGGAAAACAGAAAAATGCTAAGGCAGAGAATAAGTGGGGACTCATTGGGTCACACAAGGATGATGCCTCTAAGAATGTCACTGTAAATAAGAAGCCTTAGGAGAGGAAGATATTTGTAAGAAAGACATATTCTACAGGAGAGGAGTGGTGTATGCAGAGGCCATGGGGCAGGAAGGCATTCCCAGGTCTCTAGTGAAAGAAGAAGCTGAAGTTAAAGCAGAGGTTCTGCCTTCCAACCACCTTTCTGCATCTCCTTTGGCCTCAGATGGCAAAGGATATCTGGTTTTATCAGTACTACACAAGCTCCTGGTTACCAAGACTCTCTCTTTAGTCCAGTGGTCATGATCCAGCACTAACCAAATGTCCCTACCTGCCATTTGTTATTGTGCTAAAGTCTTTTAGAAGGACCGTGTCCATCCCTCCATTACCTAGCTTAGTCCTCTTGACCCTCACAGAACCTGCAACAGATAAGATGCCCACCTCAAGAGACACAAGAGGCTCTGTCCATGGTGCTGCTTGCCCCAATGGCCCTCACTTTCCAGTCTCAGCTGTAATTTGGGTCACCAGTCAGGATGTGACAGGTGAAGCCTGTCCCACATGAAACACTTCTACAGAGACAGATAAAGGAAGGCCACACTCCAGAAAATAGCCCCAGAAAAGGAAGAAAGTTCAGACAAAGATGAGCTAGGCCCCATGCTGGTCTATACTTGAGAGTTCTGACACTGCAGCTGGCATCCTCACGAATATAGTTATAGGTCCCCCCTAAAGTAGGATGGACAGGAATATCAGCCAAGCACCTGAGGTCTTCTATGTGCTGTGCCATTGTGTTTGGACCCATTCTCAAGGGAGAAAAGGACATGTACAGATTTAGAAGCTTAGTCTCAAGGGAAAAGCCACAGGTGCAATTTCTTGAGCATTTACTCTGGGCCAAGAGCTGCTTTAGGTTTTCACATCATTCAGTCATCTGATCTTTAGACTAGTCCAATTTTGTTGTGACTTCATAAATTAAATACCCGATGCTATGATTTGCTGAGATCTTACAGCCAGCGGGGAACAAATGTAAGCCAACCCAATTCCAAACTCCCCGTTCTTCCAGTACTTCAGGTTGTCTCTTCTGTCAGCCTCTGGACTCATTCTCTATGATGCCCCCATAGACATAGGTTTCAGTCCTATTGCCTCTAAAGTGTTCTTTCCCAGTAGACATGACTCATTCTCTGTGATACTCCCATAGATGCAGGTTTCAGTCCTGTTGGAATGGTAATTCCTACTGCCTCTAAGGAGTTCTGGTCCCTGTAGACCAGCCCAGATGTGACCACCAAGCATCTAGATCTCATCACTCAGGGCTGGGACCATAGATTAGCCAAGTAATTAAAAGTTCCTCACAGCCAATGCTCCCCTCATCCCGACTAGGGAAAATCATTGGGGGCATCTGACTCCTTCCAAGCTTGCCTCTCTATATCCAGGCTGTGGTATGGGACCACTCTACAGCCAGATTTGTCCCTAGGTATAGCACTGCCCCTTGTTCTCATGCACTCCCCATTGATGCTGACACATTGATTATTAGCTCAGCCATCTAAGTTCCTTTTAAAGTTGCTGCACATTTATTTGAACTACAGTCTGAGTCACCTGGGATGTGTTAGGAAGATTAAACTGAGGATTTCAGTGACTCATTTTTAAATGTTTCCAGGGAATGGCAAGAAATTGGAGGTCTATTTCCCACCAAAGAACAGAGCTCTGGCATCCTGCCCAGAAGATATACCCCATCTGCTGACTCTGAGAGTGGACTGGACTATGCATCTTCATGAGGATGGGTTAAATACAAAAGCTCTTTTTCTGCAGGAATAAATGTAGTCAAGTCAAAGAAACAGAAATGGGCAGGCAACAAATGTGAAGGGTTGTTTGGGTACAAAGGCTGACACACTTTGGCTTGTTTGTTATTTGGGAGAGCTTCTACACAGTTAGCATTTAGTTCTTATCTTAAAATGTGTCAGCCTTCCCCACAAGACAATAATCAACTGCAGTTTACCCAAGCCTGTCCACGTTTAGTCTGTGCATGTGCTCCCCAACTTAATGCAGGTCCCAGCGGTTCTTGTTTGCTTCTTCCATCCAGTTCCCTTCAAGTCATTTCTTTCCTGCCAGGCCATGGTGGGAGACCAAATATGAGACCCCTAGCATGGTGGACCCTAACACTATTTCTTAGTCTAAACAAAAGTTCTTACCTTTTCTGGACCTACACCTTTCCAATGGAATAAGCACTGGGCTTTGTGGTCTCCTAAGCTCCCTCTAGCAGGGTTCTCTGCAGATTCCATGTTTTCTTGACTTTGGATCAATGTAGATGTCTGTTGGCACACCCATCTCTCCAAACCTGATCAGGGTCGACCATAAAGTTCACATAATTTATGTCTCCCACATGCGAAGTTCTTTCTGGCAGTAAAATTCTAGAACCAGAAGGCCTCTTTAGAAAACTGAATGGCTGTCCCTCATATAGGAGGAAAATGTTGAATGAGAGTTACACGATGTCCTGGTGAGTGGTAGAATTGAATTGTGTCAATCTCACACAGGCTGGCTGGCCAGTATCTGTTTGTTGATGGATAAGTGAAAAGTCAGAACTCAACTTCAGCTGGTCCAACTCCTATCCCAGTGTCCTACACTGTCTCTATATCCAGGCAGATGCAGATATTCCCAGACCTGCTGTGGTGATTCCATGAGTGAGTCCTAATTAGTGTTCATTTCATTTTGAAATTAAAGACAGAGATAGAGATGGTGAGTAACAAAAGTATGAAAGGAATTAGAAACACAGACCTCTCCAAGCAAGTTTTCTGGACATTGCTACCCAGATCTGTCCTAGTTTCTGCAGTTCTGGAAAGCCTGGAGAAAGGGAATATTATAGATAGTGGACTATGAATCTCTCTCCCGACAAGCATGCATAAGTCTGAATGGGAATACCAAGAAAAGTCAGTATGTTCATTGTTCATGGCCCCAACATGCAAGACCAGATGCCAGCAGGCTGTGGCAAGCTAGTTCTCTCTGGGAAGTCATTTGTGCTAATCAGCACTGCTTCAGTCAGCCATCGGGAGCAATGACTGAAATTTTAGGAACAAAACCTATTGAAGTCAAAGTTTGAGCCTAGACCCCCACGCTCTGGATGCTCTAAAAGGCCACAGGATCCCTAACTTATTATTCAAGTTGATGCTAAAGGAGCTGCATGCATTTCAATAGGAGACTCTTGACTACAGGGTTCCTCAAAGCTGACTCTGATTCATTTATGGTGACCTTTCAGCTAGTGTGACTATCTTTGCTGATTGTGGGTTGTTAGTTTGGTGAGAAGTAGGTGGGAAGGTCTTCCTGGTCCTTCTTGAAGACTGTGCTGAGATTGTCTCACATAAGGGTTCCCCCCAACCCAGGATAACTCACTGATGAGGGCTGTCACAATCTCCTCCATGTTCTCCAGGAAGCTAGTGAGGTGCTGGGTGAAGGACAGATGTGGGGAGGTAACCTGGGCCACCACGGCTGCAGCCTCAGCTCGAGTGGCCTCTGAGTGGCTGTCATCAGTCAAGATGTCGGCCAAACACAGGATGCCATCTACCTGCAGATGGAGAGAAAAAACTTCCTTGTGTATCTTGAAAGGGAAGGTGCCACTGCTTATGACAGTCAGGAGGCAGAGCCAAATCCTGACATCCTAAAAAATCAACCTTCACTTCTGAGAACAATTCACACCCCTTGTGGAGTTAGAGAAGACCCGAGGATGAACCCCTTCCAAAATGACCTGAAGTTGAGCATTTAAATGCCTCCGCTTTGAGCCTGGGAAAGATAAGTGACCTTCCCCGAACTTTCTAGATAGCAGACAGCAAGCCAAGTGTCTAGGGACTGACCTTGGCCATGTATCACTGAAAAATGCAGTCAAAACAATGGTTACTTAGTGATCTTTTGACCCTGTACTCTAAGCCAGGCTCCATCTTTCATGCTGTATGACTTCACATCCCTGACACTGTTTCCTCACACAACAGCAGGGTGTCAGGAAGCCAGGAGATGGGAAAACAGGTGATGATGCCCTACAGAGAAGATGAGTTCAAGAAGTTTGGGCTCCCTCCTCCTGCCTTCGCCTTTTGAAGCAGGCTGAGCTCAGTGCCCTCCACTGTGTTCCCCATAGAAAGGGTGCTGCTTCCACGGAAGCCTTGCTCTCTCTACAGAATCAGAGAAGTTACAGTCTCCTGGGACATACATCCAGGAAAAGGTTTGTTCCCCAGCCCTACCCAGCCAGACCCACTCTAGGCACAGTAATAGGAGACACTTTTAGAGTGTCCATAGTGTGTCTGTGCCAAGTTCCACACTTAGTAGAATGTGTATGTCATTGTATTGCTGAATCAATCATCCCATTGTCATAGAAAGAAAACCTTAGAAAAGATTGTTCACCTGCCTTGGATCCTTAACTTTCAAACCTGTGGGTTTGGGACTTGAGCTGAATGGTCTGCTCTGCAACATGTGGGTTCTGAATAGGACATTATACTCCCCCCTTGGAAGTCACACTTGAGCTTAAAACTTGCACTCAAGTCAGTAGGTGGGCATGAGGGGGAAGAAGCAGGATCTTGCTGTAGATAGACCATTAGTGTTCTGCAGCTCCTCTGGGATCTAGGATGCTAAGCTGCTGAAGTCTAGTGCTGGAGATGGGACAGAGGCAAGGGAGGAATAGGGAGATGCCTTGACTGATGTCTGCCACATCTGCTACCCACTTGAGCCGCTGGCCTCTGCATCCCTACTTCGTGCTACTAGCTCTAGTGGCCCCAGAGCTCGCCTTTCATTTGATTAATTGCCACCACTACTACCACCCCCAGTCCTGCACCTCCCTTAAATGGCTCTTGGGACCTGAAAGGTCCATTAGCTGTGAAGGCCATTGGCAATTTCAGACTCAAAGGAGACAAATGTGGAAACAAGAGCCCAGGGATTCATCCACAGTAAAACCCACCTGGATGTGCTTAATAAAAGGAACAAACAGCAGTTAGCCTGCCCCTGGCAGGACTGGACTCAAGCCAGGTATTTTATTAACAGGTCCTTGGAGAGGGACCTCGTTTGAGCCCGCAGGGCAGCTGCAGGCCTGGAAACAGGAAGGAGCCTCTCAATTGACTGGCTCACGTCCCTTTTCTTCCTTCGAGCATCAGTCAAGAGTGTTGCTAAGAAGCATGAGGTCCCTAATGGGAAAATATCTCCATCGATCCAGTGCCCTCAAACATGTCTTGACTACAGCTGCCACTGCTACCATGGTCTCTGACTCAGTTGGAACACCAGCCAGACTCAAATAAATATGCTGCCCTGACGCTCAGTACAACCCGAGTTGACAGTCCCAGGACCCAGTGAAACCCAAGGCTCAAATATGAGCCCCTTTCCCCAGGCCAGAAGTAAGTGAGTCTGTGGCCTGTGTAAGCACAGGCCAAGTGCCAGGCCTTGTGCTGCAGAAGCCAGGTCAGAGTGTCCCTGGTAGAGGAAGTGACTCTCACCAGATAACCATCACGCAGAGGGATTTCCCAAAAGATGCTCTATTTCTGGAAGCCACCCGTGACTTAACACACCCACAATCCAGCTTGAGAAGACAGGTTCCCTTCCTCAAGTTCTTCTGCTATCTTTATCGTATTTTAATGTTAAAGAACATTGTATCTCCAAGTGAGATTGTGGTTGCATCTAATTAACTGTGGGTTACTTAAAAGAGAATCCCTGCCGGGCGGTGGTGGCCCACACCTTTAATCCCAGCACTCGGGAGCCAGAGGCAGGCGGATCTCTGTGAGTTTGAGGCCAGGCTGGACCTACAGCCTCCAAAACAATACAGAGAAACCCTGTCTCGTAAAATCAAAGAGAGAGAGAGAGAGAGAGAGAGAGAGAGAGAGAGAGAGAGAGAGAGAGAGAGAGAGAGAGAGAATCCCTGTGCTCCTCTCAGAGCTAGTCTGCTGTATTCACAGTTAGACCAGGAGTCAGCTTGGCAACAGGTCCACAGTGAACTTGCATGCTGCTCTAGCATTAGCAACACACAATGAAGAGATTATCTGACCATATGTCTACCTGGACCCCTGTTCTGTAAGCAGAGGACCACAGCTAGTTCCCCTTGAGTTGCTTGGTTCTTGGTATGAGTTGGGCTTTTGGGAGATGGGGAAAAATACCAGAAACTAACATTTGACCTAAAACTTGAGGATACACTGTATATGTATGCAAGTAGAATGATGACATTGTAAGCAGGAGGAAGTTGTGAGCAGGCTCAAAAAAGACAGCATTGGAACAGAAGCCAACTCAACATCAATTACACAGATCCTTGACCCCAGGTGATGTGGATCTGATACCCCTGCTGCTCCTGAGTTTCCCAGAGAACCTTTGGGGTCCCGGATATTCAAACGACCCACTTCCCCTTGTCTTGCCTTCTGCTGATATGTTTCAGATACCTCTAAATTATGGACTACATCATCCTTTCAACATGGATCACATTGCAGAAATGATTCCAAACATATATGGCATTCATATTCATAAAAATATCATCTAAGTAAGAGAATATAAGCTTACTTGTTTACATTTGAATACATTGAATATATAAAGGCATAAGGGTAGCATGGCTTATAAAGGATTCCAATAATTAAATGGAAAACTATTGGAAGATCTATGTATGCCAAATATTCAGAAATTCTAAATCACAGAAATGATGTTAAGCTAACGTTTCTTCTTCATCTCATCTTCCTGATCACCTACCACTAAAAAGGCCTTATCCTGGGTTCTGTGTTGTTGATGCCCTTGTTTTCATTAGATCTCTGTCTAATAAAGTAAGATTTGTGGGTTTTATAACTGATATAAGTGGTGCTAGAGTCTACAAAGGGATTTTCTTTCTCCCCCAGACGTCCCAGTGTTTATGAAACTCCTTCCCATCACCATGTGTGTCTGTGGTGAATCTGTTTTCACAGCTATATATTATTTCACTGTGCAAATCTATTGCAATTCATGTATGCATTCTCCTGACGATGGTGTCTTTTGGGGTTTGCTGTACTGGATAGTGCTATTAAAAAGATTCTTCTAAAAGTCTTCTGGCTATGTGTTAGTTTCCCTGGGAGTCTTGACACAGGAATTCCTAGGGCACAGCATTTGCACATCTTTACTGATACTGCTAATTTGCTTTGCCATATTGTTGTAGCAAGTTGTACTTACCAACACTATAGAAAGATATTTAACTTCATAGCCTTCTCTAGTTTTCATAAGTTTATAATTTTTAGTAGTTTTATGGTTTGGATGAGCAATGTCCCCAATAGGCACTTGATCTCCAGATGGTGATGCTGTTTGGAGTGATTATGGAACTTCAGGAGATGTGGCCTTGTTGGAGGAATTAATCACTGGGGGAGTCTTTGAGGTTCTATGATCTCACCCCACTTCCTCCTCTCTTTGCTTCCAGTGTGTAGATAAAACGTGATCAGGCAGTTTCATGCTCTGGCTACCTGCTGCCATGCCTTGTCCACCACTATGGATTCCCCCTATAGAATTGTAAACCAAAATATATTTTTCTTTAACTTTCATTAGTTATGATGTTTTATCAAAGCAACAGGAAAGTAGCTAATAAAGATGAACCATAAAACTGTATTTTAACTCCTGTCTATCAGGACTAATGAGATTGAGTCTTTTGCACCATTTTTGGTTTGCTCTGGTGTGGTTTGCTTGGGCTTTTTTGTTTGGTAAGCTGGGAACCTTGTTCATATGTCTTGATTGTTTTTATATCTGGTGGCTTTTCATAGGGGCCACATTATAAGGCTGCTGATTTCCCTCAGCCTGTCACTGGCAGGCTGCCATACAAATTGGTCTCCATACACACCACCATCTCCGGAGGTCTGATCCAGCTCAACTCACCACACTCATCACCAAGGGCCACAAGCCACTGGGTTATGAGCTTTTTAGCACTTAGACCAATTCCTAAAATATCAGAATGTGCAGGCATTGGGGCCAGACCTGTTAGTCTGATCCTGCCTGTCTCTTACTACCTAAACAACTTTGAGACTTTGTCCTAAAATTTAGGACAATAATGCAAGCATCAGTGACTTTCCTTTTGCTTATAAAATGGGTATCTGAACTATCAATTGGAAAGGAATATTGGAATTACTTAATGGAAGGCTGCATGGGCAGTGCCTACCACATGGTGGCGCCATCATTCCATCCTATCCCCACCTGTGGCTTGCAGTTACCTTCTGATGCCTGGAGTTCCTCTCCTCAATTCTTTGTGCCTCCAAGCCTTCTCACAGGGCTTCCCTCTAAAGTCCCTTTCTGCAGTCTCCTCCAAAAGTGAGAACCTCAGCCCTCTGGGTAATGTGTCCATCAGATTCCTTTTCATTGTGACACAATACTTGAGAAAATCACCTCAGAAGGGGGACAGGTTTATTTGGGCTCCTGGTTTCAGTAGTTTCATGGCCCTTAATTGCTTGGCCTCTTCATTTTAGGCTCATGACAGCACAGTACTTCATGGTGGAGATGTGGGGTAGAATAATTGGCTCAGAGAGGGCTTGGCTCACTCCCTCTCCTTTGACTCCTTCTACTGAGAGCTCTCTCCATCTTGGCCTTAGCTCATTTCAAGTGTCC